AGGACCCATCATAAAAGCTATTAGAGCTAATAATTCAGCAAAATTGCAAGGCATAAGGTCACACAAAATCTGTCTTTCTGTACCCCAGCAATGAACAATCTAAAAAAGAAAATTAATTCCATTCACGGGGGGGAGGGGGGCAGGGAGGTGAAAGACTTTTCACTGAAAACTGCAAAACACTGCCAAAAGGAATTAAATAAACGGCATCCTGTATTCACAAATTGGAAGGCAATTTTGTTATAATGTCCACACTACCCAGTGGATCTATCCCAGTGATGGTGAACCTTTATAGATTGAGTGCCCAGATTGCAACCCCAAACCCACTTTCTTTTTTTTTTTTTTTTTGGTACTGGGGATCGAACTCAGGTCCTTGCGCTTGCGCAGCAGGTGGCAGAAACACTGAGCTAAATCCCTGGCCCCTCAAACCTACTTATTTATCACAAAGTGCCATCACTCCAATTAAACCTGAATACTGAGGTTTTAGTTTAGGAAAAACAACTCATACAACTCATAATGTCATCACAGAGAGGGCTCTGCGTGCCCACTATGGCATACATGCCATAGGTTTGCCATCAAAAGGTCTGTCTTATCAACATTCCAGTGGCAGGGCCAGGGATTTAGCTTAGTGGTTCCGTTGCCTGCCTCGCAAGCACGAAGTCCCAAGTTCAATCCTCGGTAGCAAAAAAAAAATTGGGCCGGGGATTTAGCTCAGCGGTTCCGGCACCTGCCTCACAAGCTCTAGGTCCCAAGTTTGATCCCCGGTACAAAAAAAAAAATTCCAGTGGCCTTTTTTGCAGAGACTAAAAAGTTAATCCTAAAGTTCAATTACACAAGGCCCTGAATGCCGAAACAGCCTTGAAGAAGAACAAAGCTGGAGCACTCACACATTCTGATTTCAGAACTTCCCACAAAGCTTCAGTATTCTAAATAATTTTTTCCTGGCATAAAGGCAGTGAAATCCCTTCACACCCACTAGGATGCCTATAATAAAAAGACAGGAGCTGGGCATGGTGGTATATGCCTGTAATCCCAGCACTTCGGAGGCTGAGACGGGAGGGTCACAGGTTTGAGCCTAGCCTGGGCAACTTACGATTTAGTGAGACTATCTCAAAATTTAAAAGTCCTCAGAACATAATCTCAGTGGGGAGGCCCTGGGGTCAATACCCTTTCCACCAAAAATAAATAAAGAACAAGTGTTCACAGAGATGTGGAAAAGTTAGAAATGTAAGACTATTTAAACAGCATTACCATATGACCCAGCAGTTAGTCCCACTCCTAGATACATATTCAAAATAAAGACAGGTACTGAAACAAGTACATAGGTTTGACTTACAATGATTTGACTTAAAAGTTTTTGACTTTTACGATGTGCAAAAAGTTACATTCAGTAGAAGCTACTTCAAATTCTGAATTTTAATCTTTTACTAGGCTAGTGTTATGTGGTACACTACTCGCTTCTGATGCTGGACATCAATCAAGTCACAGCCCCAGTCAGCATGAAAGTCATGAAAGTAGATAAACTTTTACAGTGTGCTGTGTTGCTGAGTTGTGATGTTCAGTAGCTACATTTTCTTTTAAAATATTTTTTCAACTTAAAATATTTTCATTTACAATGGTGTTCAGAGTATGAAAACTGGTGGCCAAAGTCAAAAGGGTTCAAGAGATGAAGGAAAGAAACATACAGATCTAGGGTTACACAAAATACAGTCAGGGCTTAGAACAAAAGTGTGTCCTGCATAGTGGCAAGGTAGGACCCCTGGACCTGAGGCAGGAGTTACATGCTAAATGGACAAAGGTGACCTGTGGCCATCCAGAATGTTCCCTGGTCTTTCTTTTATGTGTTTTTTGTTTTGATTATATATATATATATATATTTGATTATATATTATATATATATATATATATTTTGATACAAGGTCTCACTGTGTAGTTGAGACTGGCCTTGAACTCACTATGTAGCCCAGGTTGGCCTTGAACTTGTGACAGTCGTCCTGCCTCAGCCTCCCAAGTGCTTGGAATTACAGGCATGTGTCACTGTGCCCAGCTTACCTGGCCTTTCTAAAAAAGAAAAACTTAAAATATTCAGCATCAGTGAAGAAACAGCCTGGGTGTCATTGGCTAGCACAACATGCTCCGATGACTATCCTAATGACTGGCCTCTAGGATTTGGGATATGTGCCCGGATCATCTAGTGGGCAGAATGGCAGTGACAACCAAGATGGCTGTGATCATGTCAAGCTGGATCCCTCCAAATGAATTTATCAGCATATAACCCCATCACAAAGCAAGGAGAATCTGTGTATATACATCATATTCATAGCAACACTACAGTAACCAAAAGATGCAAACAGCTCAACTGCCTGTGGGTGGATGTGATGTGCACGGAATATAATTCAGCCATAAAAAGAAAGGAACTACTGACACATGGATGATCCTTCAGAACATTTCAAGTGAAAAGTCAGGTTCAAAGGTCATATGTTGTATGATTCTATCGTATGAAATACCCAGAATAGACAAACCCATAGAGGTGGGTAGTTTCCAGAAGCTGGAGTGAGAAGGTAGAGATAGACTGCTTACTGAGTAAAGTTTTAGAGGAGTGTGGAGCTAGGATATTGCTGTGTTACCCAGACTGCCCTCAAATCCCTAGTCAGGCAGACCTGATTCATTCTCCCAAGTACCTGGGACTGTTGGCACAGGACATATCTCATGCATGCCTGGCCATGTGTAAGGGATTTTACTTTGGAGAAATGAAAACGTTTTAGAAAATAAAAGTGGTGGTTCCACAGTATTGTAAACTGTTCACTGTAGAATGATTACTTCCTTTAGTGAACTTTATCTGTAAATGATTAAAGGGAAACAAGTCACTGCAGGAGGTGGATAACTAATGGATTTCCCACTTGAGTATGAGGTTCCTTTTGGGGTCTGCATAGGAGATAGCCTGGCCAAGGCACTGAGGTTGCTACTGCACCCCCATAATAGCTTATTGGTTTTGGTCACACAGGGCCCCGGGGTCCCATTGCGTTGAGGGACTTTAGCCACACACCTGGCAGCTACTGATCATAAATGTTTCCTCTCAAGAGAAATACTCTGTCTTTTGCTCTAGAAAGGCTGAGTCCTAATATAGTGAGTATAATGCAGGTAGATGTTTGCTCTCGGATCTTTTCTTTTGTTGTTAAGCCCAAACTTTACTAGCATTTTAAGGATTTTTTTCCTAAAGGGAGATTTTACTTCTGATTTTGTATTTCCTTTCCAAAGAAGAACTTTTAACACTTTTAATTGTATTTCTTGGGTTGCAAAGATGAATTGCATCCAATTTATGCAAGTCCAAAAGTGATCTCCTGGCATTCTCACCCACAGAAATCAGCTTTGATCACTATCTCAGAAAACGATTCATCTAAATACTGGCTCAGGCTAGCATGCCATTTCCCCATTGCCACACCTCCTGGCCACTCTGGTGACATCTCAATCAGTGGTCACCAAATTCAGCTAACAGGCTATTTCATATGTCCTGTAAACTAAAACTGATATTGAAGGTTTTTAAAGGGATATTTTAAAACAACAATGAAAGAGCACTTGACAGAGACCTTGTGGCCACAAGGTGTCAAATACATTTTTTCCAGCTTGTACAGAAAAGCTGTACTAATTGCTGTCTCTGTTACTGCCACAGCCTTCATCTTCCCGTGTTTAGTTCCTTTTACATAGCCAGAAGAGGCCAAGGGGCTTCCAGACTGGTGACTTGGCAGGAGGGAGAACATACAGCAAGCTCCAGACCATATCTGGCAAGGCCGTGGACTCCATCTAGGCCTTGTCTCTGTATCCCTCACGATTCCCTCTATTCCTACTGAGACCCCAGTAGCATGTGAATATCAGTTTTCTAAATGCACCCTAGAACTAAGGCACCTGTGGGAATGGGGGCATTGTGACTTGCATAACCACACTGTGTCTGAGCCACAGGTGTCAGTGAACAGAGCATGAAACATCAGCAAGGGAAACTGGTGCAACAGGCAAAGGGGCTGGATCTGTGGGGACTGGGCATATGGCCAAGTTGCATTTGCAGTTGACATCACAGGCAGCTCCTGGGAATGAAGGTGACTAGACTTGGAAGTAGTTCTACATATCACAGATAGGGGTACTGAGAAAGTGAGACGGGGCATGACAGACCCAAGGAAGGCAACGAGGGCATTTGAAGAATGTCCTTAACCAGTGAGCATTAATGACAGGAGCTCAACAGGGATCCTTCCTGCCTTGTTTCAGGGAGTGCTCTGCTGTGCAGGAGATACCAGGGACAGGTAAGAAGAGGGGAAGACTGGTACATATATTCAGTAGTCAGGAAAGGGCTCTCCACTGAGGTGCATCTGAGCAGAAGTTGGCAGGAGGGCCAACAACATGCCTCATACCTGTCTATGCTTCTGTAAAGAAAAATGGGCTTCTCTATACCTGCAGCAAGGCTCTGCCTCTTTACACTGTTGAATCTTAAGACCAAACCTAAACTTAGTTAGCTAGTACTGAAAGAAAAAAGATAGGCCTAAGAGGCATACACCTTACAGTGTTGAGAAAGAAAAGGAGTTAAATATGTAATAATGTAACAGCATATGATATTTCTTGTTATGGGTGGGAGGGGTGAGAAGCACATGGATTTGGGGCATATATTCAGGTAGTGCCAACTGGACTTCCTCCAAGTGTGACAGGAAAGGGAACTGAGGGCACCTAGCATCTTGGCCTGAGACAGCAGGCAAGCTACAGGTGCATCTCTGGGATGTGGAATCCTGGGGAGGGTGGGTAGTTCTTGCTCTTCAGCTTCTGTGTAGCATTATCACCTAAGAGCCCTGCCAGCCCCTCTATAGTTCCTTTGCAAGATCTAAATTACCACCTATGGTGGGTTTCCTGTTTGTCAAGCTTCCTCTACAGAAGGTGAGGCCAGTGGCCCTGCAGACTTGTCTGTATGCTGTCTTGTTCCTGTCACAACAATTCCTTCTATGACTGAGTATTTATTGTTTCAGATTGTGATACCAGGACTGAAGACAAAGAGTGTTGTCTGAAGGAAAATGTTTCTGAGGATTTGAAATCACAGGCAGAAATATCAGAAAACTGTGCAGGTGATGTTTCCCAGGTGGCTGAGTTTGAAGAACTCTGTGAGGACCTAATAGAAAGGGGCAGGAGGATCCCTGCACAGCATCTCCACCAGAAGCGGGGCTTCACACCGGTGACGGTGCTCCTTCAGGATCCCTTAAGGGAGAAAGTTCTGGATTGTCATAGTTTTGATCAAAGCTTTAATCTGAGCCAAAGCTTGATGGCATATCAGGGAGTCCCTATGGAAGAGAGGCCACATCTGTATGACGCATATGGCCTTGACGCCTTCCAGCACATTGAAGACCTAACTGATTGTGAGGGTGTTCCCACAAGTGAAAGCCCATTCATATGTAATGGGTGTGGAAAAACCTTCAGAGGAAACCTTGACCTTATTCAGCATCAGATAGCCAATGCTGGAGAGAAGTCCTTTATGTGTAATGAATGTGGGAAATCCTTCAGCCAGAACTCAGTTCTTAAAAACCATCAGCCATCTCTTGTGAGTATGAGAGCCTACCAGTGCAGTGAATGCGGGAAAGCCTTTCGTGAGTGTGCAGACCTTGCTAGGCATCAGGTTCATCACAGCAGCGAGAGGCCTTATGTGTGTAATGAATGTGGAAAAGCCTTCAGCCAGAACTCAAGCCTTAAAAAGCACCAAAAGTCTCACATAAGTGAGAAGCCCTATGAATGCAATGAGTGTGGAAAGGCTTTTAGGCGGAGCTCAAACCTTATCCAACACCAGAGAATCCATTCTGGGGAGAAACTGTATGTGTGTGACAAATGTGGGAAGGCCTTTAGGCGGAGCTCAAACCTCATTAAACACCACAGGATTCACACAGGGGAGAAGCCTTTTGAGTGTGGGGAATGCAGGAAGGCCTTCAGCCAGAGTGCACATCTCAGAAAGCATCAGAGGGTTCACACTGGAGAGAAACCTTACGAATGTAATGATTGTGGCAAACCATTCAGTCGAGTGTCCAACCTCATTAAGCATCACAGGGTTCACACTGGGGAGAAACCTTACAAGTGCAATGACTGTGGGAAAGCATTTAGTCAGAGTTCCAGTCTTATTCAGCATCAAAGAATTCACACTGGAGAAAAGCCTCACGTGTGCAATGTGTGTGGAAAAGCCTTTAGTTACAGTTCAGTGCTCAGGAAGCACAAGATAATCCACACAGGAGAGAAGCCGTATGGATGTAGTGTCTGCGGGAAGGCCTTCAGCCACAGCTCCGCTCTCATCCAGCACCAGGGCGTGCACACTGGCGACAAGCCCTACGAGTGCCACGAATGTGGGAAGACCTTTCGACGCAGCTCCAATCTCATCCTTCACCAGCGAGTCCACACTGGAGAGAAACCCTATGAGTGTACCGAATGTGGAAAAACTTTCAGCCAGAGCTCAACTCTCATTCAGCACCAGAGGATCCATAATGGTTTGAAACCCCATGAGTGTAACCAGTGTGGTAAAGCCTTCAACCGAAGCTCAAATCTTATTCACCACCAGAAAGTTCACACTGGGGAGAAGCCCTACACATGTGTTGAATGTGGTAAAGGCTTCAGGCAGAGCTCACACCTTATTCAACATCAGATAATCCACACTGGTGAGAGGCCGTATAAATGCAGTGAGTGTGGAAAAGCCTTCAGCCAGCGTTCAGTTCTAATCCAGCACCAAAGAATTCACACTGGGGTAAAGCCCTATGACTGCACTACTTGTGGGAAAGCTTTCAGCCAGCGGTCAAAGTTAATTAAACACCAGTTGATTCACACAAGAGAGTAGTCTATGGGCTGGGAAGAATGAAATCAAACCATGCTCCTTTCAGACTCCTCTGGCCTTTACCTCAGCCTCTACACCTGCCCAGACCTGAAACCCAGGCTCATTCAACCTCTTCCACACACGTTCAGCCACTGCAGCACCTGGATCCCTCCTCAGAATCACCCTTTACAGGCTCCCTTCCCCTGCCACTGCTCCACCTCATGTGATCTCTTGTAGGTATTTTGTTTTAAAAAGTTTTTGAGCAGGTAACCATATATGTTAGGAGGAAAAGATTATGAAGGCTGCATATTCGTGAACAGAGTGTATTATTTTAGTCAAAAATTACCAAGCTGGGCGTCATGGTGCATGCTTGTAATCCCAACACTTGGGAGGCTGAGGCAGGAGACTTGCCACAGTTCGAGGCCAGCCTTAGATAAATAGTGAAATCAAGGACAGCCTGAACTACATAGCAAAACTCTGTCTACAAAAAAATTTTTTTTTAAGTTATAAAAAAATGACCTTTGGTTGGAGATAACCACAGTAATTTTGTTTGGCAATTAATCATAAGGAGTAAGTTCTCTGTCGGTGGCTGTTGTTGATACGTTGTTTACATAAGATCAAACAGCATTTTTCAGGCCTGGTTGGTCTGTCATCCTCCTCAGAGGTGGTACACTAATTCTTCACCCCTCCTTGCTGACTTCATTATACAACTTGCACCAAGACTTCCCCGCTCTCCTGCTTTCCTTTATGTATATCTGCAGTGAGATCAGCTGCCTCCTTGCTGCTCTGCTATGACTCAGGTCCTAACTGTGCCTCACTGTGCAGGCCCCCCAGAGGCAGCTCTCTGTGCACCTCATTTTCTTCTCCATAAGCTTCCATGCTCAGTCTTTTCCAAGATACATAGATCACCAGATATGTTTGGAGTACCTCCTAGGTGCCCTGCTCTGGAACCAGCTCACCACCCTCATCCTCATTTTCCTGGAGATGTGCCCTGGCCCCTGAACAGACAGAAAGTCCAGGTTTGACAAGTCTCATTAAAGAGGTCCCCAGACACCAGCTGACAGGTTACAGGACCTGCAGGCCAAATCTGGCACACCTGTCAGTTAATTTTTGTCAGGATTCAGCTGTGCCATTGGCTTACAGATATCTATGCCAGTGTTTGCATGACAGAACTGAGAAATTATGATAGATACCATATAGTCCACAAAGCCAGAGTCTTGTCTTTCCACCCCTTTCCAGGAAAAGTTTGCCACCTCAGGCTTAGGATGCTACCCTGTTGGGTCCAGGCTTTGCCCAGGGACTCAAGAATTTTTACAGGAGTTGATCAGGGAACTAGTCTATGCTGTGGAATGATTGTATGTGTGCAGTGGGTGGTTCTTGACCAGTTCTCATAGCCACGTAAGATCCCTCCTTCCTTAACCTTCCTTAAATACTGTAGGCCCTTGGGGGGAACACGAGACCTAGCATTGAACTGAGTTCTCATTGCAGTCAGTTGTGTGAAGAGTGCATGATGTGGATGGCAACTTCAGACTGCACCTAGTTCTTCATGGTCTGTGTTAGGTGTATTCACAGACTACTAGAATTCTGACACAGTAGAACTAAAGAGGTAGGCTTAGCGGCAAGCTTCCACAAAAGATTCCAGAACAGTCCCACATAATTGCTCTGCTCTGACCCAGGGCAGCAGGCACAGGTGTTGAACTTCCCTCTTTCACCTCTGCCTTGACTTAATATCTTGGGCAGCTGTATCAGAACCCCAACTAATGCTTGTTCTCCACCAGCAGCAAGGGAGGAATAAAGTGCAGATTGTGGATTCTGCACTGAAAAGACAGCAGAGAGCTCCCAGGGTGTGTGGAGTAGATTCCATGAGTTTCTGAGTAGTTATAAATGACAAGTGTCCACTATAACCTGCATTTTTGTGACTTAAAAAATGTTTTAAATAATTTCACTCAAAATTTGTAATACCACAAAGAACATCCCCCTGCCTCCACTCAGATTCCCCATTTAACATTTACTTTCTTTTCCCCTCATCAGTAAAGACAATTTTTCCCCAACACTGAGCTGCAGATGCACCTTCCCCCAGAATGTCAGCATGTGCTTCCCATCAAGAACCTTCTCTTCCATGGCCATGGTATCATTGTCAAAGTTAAAGAATAAATGATGATGATGTACATACTCCATAAGCCTTATTAATGTTTTGACACTTGTCCCAGTGATGTCCCTTATAGAAAGTAGAAATGTTTTTCCCTGGTCCACAAGCCAGTCTTCAATCACATGTATGTAGCTGTCATGTCCTTCTGCCTAAAATAGTTCAGTCTTTGTCTTTCATGGCAGACATTTTTTAAGCACATGGGCCATTTATCTTGTAGAATGTCCTTGGAGACATAGGTTTTTTTGTTTTGTTTGTTTGTTTCTTTGTTTTTGGTACTGGGGATCCAGCTCAGGACCTTGAGCTTGCAAGGCAGGTGCCACTGAGCTAAATCCGCAGCCCTGTCCTTCCTCTTGGATTTGTCTGGTGTTTCCTGATAACTTTGGCAGAAACCACAGAAGACATGTATTCTTGAGGTCCATGATTTTTTTTTTTTTTTGTCTCTTTCAGGTGATGTTATTCTGTATCACTCGCTTGCTGCACTGTGAAGTTACTATTTTCCACTTTGTAATTAAGTATTTTCTGGAAAGAGACTTTGAATCTATAGACAACCTGTTTTTCATCAGTTTTTATCACCATTTAGATCTCTGGATGATTCGTGCTTCTAATTCTGATACCAAAGGAAGAGATTTGTCTTCTCCATTTATTTATTCATTTATGTAGTATGGACTCACTGATTCCTATATGTACAATGAGTTCCAGTTTGTTACTTTTCTCATTTATTGAGCTCCTCAGATTGTCCCAGGTTTGGCCACTGCAGGCCATTCAGGCTGTTCTCAGGTCCTTTTGACATTCTTCATTTGTTAGCACTGCCTTTGCTTTCTGGCACAGTAAACTGTTCCAAGCTCATTCTATATGTTCCTTCCCCCAGCTATAGAATAAGTTCTTTTCCCAAGAAGTCCTGGGGTTTTTGTGGAGAAGGTTTTGGAAAGCAAGACCTGAGTGCTGGATGTGTGCATTGTTACCAGACACTAACTCCTAAGGCCTTTCAGCAGAAAGCTAGGTAACAGATGTGTGTGTGCTTACACATACACACCATCTTGTAGAAACTCCCACACCTGTCAGTATATTAAAAATCACCAGTTCAGTTTCACCACAGAGCTTATTCTACTCTTCCCTTTTCCCTAACAACCTAGCCTTTTTTTAAAAAACAGAAATATGGTTCCTATTATCTTCAGTATATTTACTGAATATTTTTGCTCAGTCCTAGACTATACTAATAGTCTCAGAATTGTTAATCCATAATCATTGTAAAAACATATTGATTGCTCATTGTTTGTCTACAAGTCTTCTATTGGTTTGAGGCTATACACTCAATATACCATGGTCAAGCCAGACTTGGTGGCGCACACCTGTGATCCCAGCACTTGGGAGGCTGAGGCAGGAGGATCACCATGAGTTCATGGCCAGCCTGGGCTACATAATGAGTTGAAGGCCAGCCTAAACTACAGAGTAAAATCCTGTCTCAAAAAACAAACAAAAAAACCCCCAAAATACTATGTTAAAAATATCCTTGAGTCTTGGTTTTGTCTTTTTTCTCCTTCACAGTGGGTAGGTTTGTTTTTGTTGTGTTCCATATTAATGGTTTCCTATCTTGTCAGTTTCCTTTTTTATAGGCTAGTGAGTCAATTTTTAAACCATAAAACTTCTTCAAAAGGACTTTAGGAAAACAGAGACATAAATGGCGAAGTCTTATTCATTCTTAGACATAATATCTTTGGGGGCAGGGATATTTGATTTGGTACTGGGGATCGAACTCAGGACCTTGCACTTTCGAGGCAGGTGCCGTGCCACTGAGCTAAATCCCCAGCCCAGGTGTTTTGTTTTTTGAGACAGGGTCTTGCTTTGTAGTTCAGGCTGGCCTTGAACTCACTATGTAGCCCAGTATGGCCTCATGGCAATCCTTCTGCCTCAGTTTCCCAAGTGCTGGGATTACAAGTGTGCACTCCCACACCTGGTGACGCAATGTCTTGAGGGTTAAAATTTTTCCTAAATTTTCCATGGATTCAGTACAGCCTCAGTCAAAATATGAATAGAAATAATTTGGGAACTAATCCAAATTATCCTGAGTAGCAAGTCTCTTAACATTTGTTTAGTAGCAAATAAAGACATCCATTCAACTAACATTAAGTTAGATGAGGAATTTTTTTTTTTTTTTGTACCAGGGATCAAACTTGGAACCTTGTGCTTGTGAGGCAGGTGGCAGCACCACTGAGCTAAATCCCTGCCCCTAGATGAGGAATTTATTGGAGAGCTGTAGACAAACCCACTTTATGCCACTGAGAACAGTGGAGCACGGACAAGAACAACTTCAAGTTCTCTTTGCCCTGTGTCCATTTCATTCCTTTAAAATATTTCAGATAAATCATGAGTGGTGGTGCATGCCTGTAATCCCAGTGCTCGGGAGGCTAAAGAAGGAAGATTGTGAGTTTGAGGCAGGTCTGGGCTACATAGTTCAAGGCCAGGCTGAACTATATAATGAGAGGCTGCTTTCATACAGAAAGGAAGGGGGGAGAGAGAAAGGAAACAGCTACCCTAAATTTGCCGCCTGGTTCATAGCCCTCACACATCAAGGACAGGACCACTTTGTGAAATAACAGGACTACCTTCAAATGCATCTACTCAGTCTAGCTACTGTTCTTTGAGCTATCAGGGGGATGGGTCTCTGCAGGCCAAAGTCCGGGGTTAAAAATCAAGAGTTCTCTTGGGAGCCTGTCAAGTTTGAGGTGTCCATAAGAATCCAACTGAAGAAGCTGAGATCTGTTGACTGAACCCTAGGCCTCAAGGAAAGATTTGGGAAAGAGATTTAAGTTTGAAAGTCACTGGTATACTTTTAAATGGGCTGAGTATGTCACTGTGGTAGAGCACGTCCCTAGGGTGTATGAGTGTTGGAGTCTCAGCACCTCCAAAATAATATATAAAATGGAATATGAATCCCTGGGGAAGTATGAGATACTTCAGGGAGAGACTGAGGAAGGGGTCTCAGGACAGAGGCCCAAGTCTCACCAACATTGAACACTCAGGAGTGGGGGAGGAAGAGAAGCAACATAGCACCTGTGGAAAAGAGACCTAGGTGGCCAGGAGGAGGGGCAATTGCATCAAACACTGTGCAGAAGGAAATTGCTGTGCAGAAAAGAATTGAGTCCTGGAGGCTTGCTTCCATGAAGTTTGGAGCAGGAGCCTGGTGGGGAAGGGTCTCCACAGTCAAGGCAGGCAGAGATAGTGGGGAGCTAGTAGAGGTGAAGGAAGGAAGAAGGAACAAAGTCTTCCCTCCACTAGCTGAGAGAGGTTGGCCTTGGACACACAGAGGCACTTCTATGATGCACCAGAAAGAGGAAATGGGCAAATACAGGTGGACATGTAGGTACAGTAGGAAAGGGAGGCCCTTCTGTGATAGCTTTCAGCTCCTGTGTTTTCAAAATTGGAGAAGGCAAGATCATCTGTTGCGAATGGGAGTAGAGAGCTTATTGGAGGTGCGAACAGAAGAAAATGTGGAAGAGTTGACTCAAGGTGAGGAAAGTCAGCTCCATGGGCTTGAACCAGAATGAGCTGCCTCCCCATCTCGGCCACAGGGAACATCTGTGCCCAGCTCAGGTTTCACCTCACCTCCACTGCAGCACCTTCCCTGAGGCAGTAACTTGCAGGGGAAACTGACACCTCCAGTTTTGAGTGCATGCATGGCCTGTTACCCTCCCAACTCACTGGTCAAACCTCCACACCATGGAGACCAGTCTGCTGCAGTGTTTCAGCAGGCAGCCCTCTGTCTTTTCTCTATCTCCAGCCTGGATTTGATGATTTGATCCCCCCCCCCGAAAAAAGAAAAGAATGAAAGGAAAAAAACCTGGATACAGAGGTGAGAAAACAAAACAAATAGGCACAATTTATCTCAATTAGAAATTCAGAGTTTACTAAAAATGTATTACATAACTACAACAAAAAGGCCAGGTTCAGTGGCACATACCTGTGATCCCAGCTCCCCGGGTCAACATCTGCTGAAATGCACCAACTGGCAAACCTTCGTGGGTTTAATACAATGTACATCACACTAGAATTATGCCTGCAGTACCCTTGAATTTACCCAGGTGCCCTTTATTCACACCAGGGGTAGTGAATATAAAACAGGTCCACCACACCTTAATCATCAAAACCACTGCCTTTCCTAAATTCCGTATAACCACAGTGCCCATTCCCCTAAAATGTTCCATCAAAGGCATGCTTGCTCTGACCAATGACTAATAAATTAAAATGTAGTATTTGCCACTTAAGAGTTGGCATGACAACATAGGACCCCAAGCACCTCCCTCATCCCAGTTTAATTAATAGAGCCCCATAAAATTTTTCAAAAGGCCGATTATATGAGACCTATTTAAATAACAGGTGATAATCCCTACTGCTGCTTTTATCAGGCCAGTTTGACCTGGGTTTTTTTTTGTTTTTGGGGGTTTTTTGGTACTGAACTCGGGTCCTTGCACTTGCGAGGCTGGTGGTGGAACCACTGAGCTAAATCCCCAGCCCTGACCTGTTTTTGAATCTGAAAAGAACAAATGCTACCTGGAGGTGGGTTATTGCAACCTTAACACTGTGGTCTCAACTGTCAGAAGCCCATACCCAGTATCACTGAAATTACTGACTTCCTCTATTCAGCAGCTGGCAAGTACATTGGTTTACAGATTTGGCTGACAGGTTCTGTTCTGTGCCTATTGGAACAGCTTTCAGCTGTAATTTGTCTTCACATCTGGAGGGACATAATACATCCTTCCCAGTGACCATGGGTGCCTTAACAGCCTTCCCAACACACACAACCCTCACAGATAAAATCTTAACTGCACCCACCTTTCTCAAGGAGCACAACAGCAGTATGCATTAATGACATACTCACTCAGGACATGCAGATATAAGAGACCTCACCCAAGGGAAAAGCCCCGTACAGTGCTGGGGTCCACCACATCCCTCAAGTTCCTGGGAGCAATTTGGTAAGTCAAGCACTACTCTTGCTGACATGGAAAAACAACTGTTGATCTACAAGGCACTCACAACTTCTTTTAGATCTTTGGAGGTCTGGAGACAAAACATGCCTCATTTACAACTTTTGTTTAAGTCCATTTATGTTGTGTCAGCCACCTTGGACAGGCCCCTTCACCAAAGGGTTCTGGAGTCTCAAATTGCAACACAACAGGCACCCTTGGTAGAGCCCCACCAGGATGCCTTCACAGCAAAGGCTGTAGCAACTTCCTCTCATGCCTCTTGGGATCTCAGCCACCCAGGTTGGCCATAAATCAGCCATAGGGTTTTGCTGCAAGAGCCTATTTCCTTATCCCCACACCATATGCCCCCCAGCCAGTAGTTGCTGGCCACGTGCTGGGTTCTCCTGGTACATGAAGCTTTCACAGACCCTGAACCTCTGGTCCACTGCACCCAGTTGTCTACTGTGCTCTAGGTCATAAAAGCAGCACCTAAGTTCGGTGTGGCCACCAAGTCCTCTTGGTACAGGATACAGCCACCTCTGTCCTCTGGCATATTCCACCTGCAGGAGGAGCAAGTCTTCCCATCCTCAGTTCCTTGACAAATGTCAAAGTGCTGAAGGGTCACTCCTCCCTCCAGACTTCCTGACTACTGGGGGAGTCCCTTGGGATGAACTGAATGAGCAGCAGTGGGAGTTTGTCACCACTATCATGAGTAATAGAGTTTACTTTGGGTTTTTTTGTTGTTTTGTTTTTTTTTAAATAGAGCTTACTTTGGAGCTGCTGCTTTCTGCTTCTTGACCAGAGTATCCTATTCAACACATCAGGCCAAACTTCAGGCAGCCATCTTAACACCCGATGCTTCTGGCCAACAAATAGTCCCAAATGCACATTTTCACAAATTCTTGAGCCACTGACCCTTTGGGTAAAGGACTCTGGGAAATTCTTGCTTCACAGATACCCCAAGTATAAATCAGTAGTGGTGAACCTATGGCACACACGCCCCAGCCAGCTGTTTGATATCATTGAAGACTCTAAAAGGTACGCCATCACTGCTATAAATCAAGACCACAGATGTCTCTGTGTATACTCAGGTCACAAAAGATGCCTCAACAAGATTATCCTCAACCTAGCCTGAGTTTCAGGTGTTACTAATAGTGACCAAGGCATTGATGGCCTTAAGCCTCATACTACCTCTTCTTGTGCACATATCTGGACAGGTACTTAGGCCTGGGTGCTCCCCATGGCTCAGGTGCAATTCATGCCATGCAACTCCCTTGCTGTACTTAGAAGCCCTCACACTGACCCCACCTCCAGCCCAGCCTCCTGTCCTTGCTCTCTCAAGCCATTTTGGACCTGTGCAAAGGCCTGTTGAACTCTTCCCCAGAGACCTCAACTATGTCAGTAAACTTTCTGATAGAAAGACCTGCAAAGGAATTTTAAGCTTTTTAATCAAACTACTACTAATAGTATTGGCCTTGTTACACTGACATATAAAAGTAATGAAATAAATAATTTCATGGTAAAATAATGAGGATCCAAGATGTGTAATATAAGAAAAAAAAGAGACAGTAATAACAACAAATAACCATCTAGCCCTAAATTTGAATTAGAAATATCATTGCAAACTTATAATGTACTTTGATATTTTTTAAATTACCATGCTTCAGAGTAAACAAATAATTGATTTGGGGAAGTTTGACTTTATACAGTTATTCCCATAAATCCTGAAGAAATAACTAGTAACAGAATGTCACCATCTTACGTGTTATGATTTGATCTGAAATGTTCCCCCCAAAGTGGGAAGGTGGTTGGATCATGGAGGTGCTTTACTCACTGGTGGATTCATCAACTGGTGGCTGAAGTGGCTGAGCATGCTGTTGGAAGGTGGAGCCTGGTCAGAAGAGATGGGTCACTGGGGTCATGACCTGGAAGGATATATCTCCCTCCCCAGCTCCTCCTTTATCTCTCTGCTTCCAGGTTGCCATGATATGAGCAGCTTTTTTCTGCCCAGACCTTTCCATCATGCCATTTCTGCATTGCAGCCAGCTGACTATGGACTGAATCTTCTAAAACCATGAACTTAAAACTCCTCCTTTAAGTTGTGGTGTCAGGTAATGTGTCTCAGCAATGAGAAAAGTGACAATGATCCTCAATGGAAATATGTAACACTCACTTATGAAGTATTCTGCCCTCTTCCCAAACTGAACTAATTAGTTTCTATCTCTTAGTTTGCAGGAAATTCGAGGGACAGAAGGATTCCAAGCAAACAGCATAATCACAAATACGACAAACTTTACCATATGTATGAAATGATTTCAATAAATAAATTGCAAAGAAAGAAGTTTGGGGAGGGACATTATAGATAAAAATATTTAAGAGACCTGTTGGACAAATGCATTGTTACGGTTTATATTTAGATGACCCCCAAAGCCTCATGCACTCATAGGTGGGGGCTTTGGGGAGGTGATTTGATCATGGGCGCGTGATACTCACCAGTGGGTTAGTCTACTGGTGAGCTTATGGGTAAATGTGATGTTGGGAGGTGGAGCAGGGTCGGAGGAGGTGGGTCACTGGAAGCAACATGGCCTGGAAGGGTATATCTCCTGCCCTTCTCCTCCCTTCAAGCTCTGCTTCCCCACTGCCCTGCCATCAGCAGCTTCTCCTGTGCCATTGCCATCTTGCCTTGGAGACACCTGACTATGGACTGAAATCTCTAAAAACTGTGAGCCAAAAATAAACTCTTCCTCCTTTAAGTTTAAGTGTCAGGTGTTGGGTCTCAGTAATAAGAAAGTGACTAAGACATGTATTGTGTGTACCTGGTTTGAACATGGACTTACATAAACCGGTACTAAAAAAATAATGTATGAAGCCAGGCATATTGGACACATCTGTAATCTCAGCACTTTGGGAGGCTGAGGCAGGAGGATTATGAGTTCAAGTCCTACATGTGAGAGTGTCTCAATATTTTAAAACAAAAAGGAGTGGAGATGTAGTTCAGTGTGAAGGCCCTGGATTCAAACACTAATACCAATTTTAAAAATGAGACAAATAGAAGAATCTGAACTGGCTATTTGATGGCAACAAAGAGTTTAGTGAATATTCATGTGGGATGATAGTTTTGTAATTAAATTTCTAGTAGAAATGGTGATTATAATCGTATATTTCAAAATTATTTAAAGAGTAAATGTTAAATGTCCTCATCACATAAGATTTATAAGTCTGTGAGGTGATGTGTTAATTAGCTTACTTTAATCATTCTACAATGTAAATATGTATCAAAACATCATATCATATCCCAAAATACATATTTGTCAATTAAAAATAAGATCTTTCTGCTGGGTGTAGTGATGCACACCTGTAATCCCAGCACTTGGGAGGCTGAGGCCAGAGGATTGCTGTAAGTTCAAGGCCAGCCTGGGCTACATAGAGAGTTCAAGGCCAACCTGCACTACAAAATAAGACCCTGTCTCAAAAAAATCTTTCTAAAAATGACTCTTGACTAGGATGGAGGGAAATAGGTGAAAAGAAATCAGTGTATAATTGAAATTGCTTGATAGGCAATCAGGGTTCATTATAATATGTTCTCTATCTCCATGTATCTCTGAAACTCGTCCATACGAGAAAGCTAAATGAGAAAAGTAGGAAGGAGTAGGTCCTGGCTCAGTCCTTTCATTTTTCTTTCCATCCCGCACCTGATGCTCCCGGAGTCATTTTGTTTATATTTATTGTTTTTCCACCAAGATATGAGCTCAAGAGGAAGGGATGTAGCTGTTTTGCCACTGCTCTATCTCCAGTGTCTGTGTGTTGAGTGCATAAAGAAAGCCAGAGACTGACAACAGCACTTCCACCCCAAGTGAATAAAGACAGCCACCATCCAGGACAATTCATGTGATCATGTACAATTAAACAAGCCCACCATCCACCTCTTGGAGAACCACTCAAGGGGTTATGGAGGCTTCCACCTAGATTTCAAAAGAAGGCCTGGGAGGCCAGGCTAAAACATGTGACAGGTCACAGTCCTTGTCAGGGGCCCAAAAGGGCAATTCATGAAGCTGTTAGAGTGAAGCTGAAGGGGCATTGGAGAGCCCAGGAAGTTGATGTCAAAAATGTGGAGGATCTTCTGAGAAAATCTGCAGGTTGTGAGGATAGCCAGCCCAAGAGTGAGGCCAGGTAGGCTGCAACCAGCAAGGTCATCAGAAGGAGCCATCCAAATGCTTCGGAAATCACATGTCCCCACAGCTTGCCCAAGTTCTGGACATGGAGCTATGAGATTTAATGTTTGCCCTACAGGGTTTCAGTCTTGCTTTGGTTTGCTTTCTTTCTCTTCTCCCATTCCTCCCTTTTTAAATGAGAATGTTTACCCTGTGCCATTGTATGTTGGAAATTTTTAACTTTCTCCTTTTTTTACAGGAGCTTACAGCTAAGAGTTTGCCTTGAATCTCAGAGGAGACTGGACTTGTCAACAGTGCTGACTTTGACAATCCTTAGAGATGGACTAAATGAATTTTTGCATAATGAGATGGACATTACCCTTTTGGGGGCCAGGGTCCAGAAAGCTATGGTTTAGATCTAAAAAGTCCCCCCAACATCTCAGGTACTCAGGTGTAAGGCTTTTGGAAGGTGATTGCTCAGTCATAGGGGCACTACATTTATCAGTGGACTAATGCATCGATGAGCTCATGACTGAATTTGCTGTTAGGAGGGGAGCCTGGTTGGAGGTAGGTCACTGGGGGCAAGACCTGGAAAGGTATATTATTGTCCCCAGCTCTTTCCTTCTGTCTCTGCTTCCTGGCAGCCACAGATTGAGCAGCTTTCCTCTGCCATTCCTTTCCACCATGCTGTCTCTGCCTTGGAGCCAGCCAACCATGAACTGAACCCACTAGAAATTGTGAAATAAAACTTTCCCCTTTAACGTCTATCCAGGTGTCAGGTATTTTTGTCCCAGTGATATGAAAGCGACTAATACACCCACACACCACATCCACAAATGTAAAAGAAGAGGAGAGGCTTAGCAACTATTTAAAACACAAACTTGGTGGTGTATCCCAGGACTTGGAATCCCAGCACTTGGGAAGCTGAGGGATGAAGAATGCTGTGAGTCTGGGGCCAGCCTGGGCTACAGAGTGAGTTCAAGTCCAGCCTGAACTACATAGCAAGACCTTGTCTCAAAAAAACCAAAAACAACCAAAGCAAGATCCTGTTTCAAAAAAATAATAATAATAATAAAACACCCTCTTGGGGAACTGTGGGCTAGAATGTGGCTATTGGTGGCCTAATGAATATTAATTTTCCATTACTTCACAAATAGAATCTCAGTTTTGCACAGCATGGTACTTTACACGTGTAGTTGGAAAACAACATTTTCCCAGGTCCCCTTGGAACTAGAGCTGGTCCTCTAAAACACTTTAGGCCAACATAATGTAAAAAAGTCACAAAGCCTACTTCTGAAAAAGTTTCTTAACATGTGGTTGATTGAGCAAATCTTCCCCCATTCTACCTGGAATGTGGATGTGATTCTGTCAATGGGGCATTCTTCTTGCAATCAGGAAGCATCATCATCATCATCGTCATCATTATCATCATATAAAGGGGGACTCTAGAAACCTGGTAGCATTAGAGGACCCTAGATAGCCAACTTCTGGACTTCCTTGTTCTGAGGGGAGGGACTATATTAGGTTACGGCACAGTAATAAAGTTTCTGTTGCACTGAAGTTGATGCCAATTCTGACAGTAATATGTTACTGTAATAGTTTGTTTGGTTTTGTGTGGGGTTTTTTTTGGTACTGGGGATCGAACTCAGGTCCTTGCGCTTGCGCAGCAGATGGTGAAACCACTGAGCTAAATCCCCAGCCCTGTTACTGTAATAGTTAAACTGGTAAAAAGAACAGTGTGAGCACAACCTTAGAAAGGTTAGCAGTCTAACAATGCACCAAATTGCAGACGTACCCCTTAGAGCCCAGACTTTGGCCACCATTCTCTTGTTCAGCCAGTCAGCAAATCTGAAGGGGCTGAGTCCATAGCTACACCACAGAAAAACATGGGACCCCTAAAACACTCTGTCATCAAAAACTGAGGTAGGTTGAAAGATGGTAGGGACTGTGCTAAGAGGCAAGAGTAACCAATGTTACAGGCTCTAATTCAGTGTGACTATTCAGGCATTTAATAATTATAATACCATGAACCAAGAGACTCATGTAAAGGTACAAGATCCCAATGATGAATGTAACTGTATTGTATACCTAAAATGTACCAATAAACTTAATGGGAAAAAAATAATTATAATACCAGTTGTTTTAAGTTGGCAAGAGGCCCTGAGTTCATTGTGCACTCAAAAGAGTTAACAATAAAGGCAACAAAAAGTAGTAATAGGGAAACTGTTTAATTCTCCATTTGTCTGAACAAGCAGAATGTATTTTTATAAGTACTATATATTGCATTAGTGTTCAATCAGAGGAGAGATATAATTATATGTACGCTACAGGAATTGGACTCCATACACTCAGAACATACAGGAAATAGTTGACAGTTCCTATAAGGCATATATTTGTATCTGATGATGCAAAGGGGCAGGCAGTTGGGAAGGGAAGATGGATGAAAGTGAGGACAATGACCAGCTGAAACTTGGGCTGGAGCTCAGGATAAGCTTCAGCCTTTAATTTTGGAGCCCGAGGAGGCAGGTAGAACAGTTGCAGGTTCTTTGCTGCTCTCACCACCCAAAAGAGCCAATGGATACCTATGAACTGCAGCAGTTCCTGCTTGGACCTTCCATAGAGAAGGAAGGTCCACTCCGAAATTCCCACATTTATCCTGCTGTCCTCATGGATCCAGGACATGAATTTGTTAAACTGCTTGCTTAGAACACTGCCTAACACATTACTGGCACTCAATAAACACTGTGCTTGTAGAAATCGAGAGGGACAAGTAAAAGGCGGTAAAGCTATGGACACAACAGATGTGCTAGGGAGGATCCTGACTACTGAATCCATGGGAAGATCAGACAGGTATTTGTTGTATTATTCTTTCAACTTTTAAATGTATGAATGTTTCCAAAATAAAAAGTTGTTAAGAGCCTCTCATAGCCCCAACTACGCAGAGGCTAAGGTGGGAGGATCTCGAGCCCAGGAATTCGAAGCTAGACTGGGCACCATAGCAAGACCTCATCTTAAAAGGGGGTGGGAGAGTTGGACCCTGTTACACTGCTGTATGCCAGACAGAGGGACGCTGATCTAGCTTGCCACAAAGTAGGGATAGGGATCCCTATCACAGCTGGGAGAAGCCCAGGCCTTAGCTCTTCCTGGCACATAGTAATGTTAGAATTATTGCACATTCTCCCAGTTTCCTGCCTCCTCTCATTGGACAGACTCTCCAGCACCATAGTCGGACACCCCCTACCCCGGTTGCCTTCAGCCAACCAGTCTCGTTGGCAATGGCCACCAAAGGCAGGGAAGAGCCAATTCCCTCGTGGATCTCATTCCACACCCGCCCTGAGCTTCTTTCTTTGGGCACTGAGGTGCCAGTCACCTCTGCAGCGGGAGCGGCGCACGGCTTCAACACACACACACACACACAAGAAGCTGGTAACGCCCAGGGCATGAGAGCAGCAGGGACCGCGCCGGGGCTCAGGGCGGAAACACTCGCTAGGGCCCGGCCAGAGACGTCAGTGTGCCATGATGAAGAGGAGGCGCCGCTGAGGCGCGTACTGGAGCGGGCACCCGCTTTTTTGTAACCAGAGCCGCCAAGGCAAAGGAGCAGAGGCGGGAAAGAGCTCTGCAGGCGCCAGCCGGGAGGAGAGGTGGACGGTGGGGGCATAACCACAGGACCTGGCCACCAAACACGGATCTGGCGACAGCGCGCCCGGAAGTGCGGCAGCGTCCGCGCGGGCTGGCCTCCTCCAGAGCGCGGCGTAGCCTCTCTAGACACGGAAGAAGCCTCAGCTCTCGGTGGCCCCAGATCACAGCCCTGCGGTCCGTCACGGAAGCGAACTACGGGTGGGTAGGCGGAGCCGACGGCCTCACTAACAGGCGTCGTGCATCAGGATTGGTGGTCCGTGCGGCAGGGGCCGAACCTGGGGGGCAGGGCTTTCGGGGATTGGTGGTGGCGCAGAGGGGGCGGGGCGGCCTCTTTGTCTGAGAGCACTGCGGGCGGCCTGCAGTCAGCTACCGAGGCTGCGGCGAACGGTGAGTCAGGGTTCTGGGCTCCGGGCAGGACCCCCTCGCTTGCGGACACCAAACCCACCGTCTTCCCGGCGACGATGCCCCCAACTGGTCCGCTCGCTTTGGCCCGCCTCAGCGCCCCGCGGCGCGGTGTCTCCCGCCAGCCCTGGTCGGATTGGGGGGATCCGCGGAGAGGATGGGGGCGGGGGCTCCTCCAAAACGCAGAAGAGGAAGCTTGGTTTTGTTTATGAGACAGGAGCTCACCAGGTTACCCAGGCTGTCCAAGAACTCCTGGGCCCAAGTGATCTTCCTGCCTCAGCATCCGAGTAGCTGGGGCTGCAGGCGCCGCCCGCGCCAGGTTAGAAACAGGTTTCTCTGGGCGACCGCGGGAGGACCCTGGCGGCCCACTCGGGCGCTTCTGACCTCGGCCGCGGAAACGCCTCCCACTGGGCGAGGACGCGCTGCCCGGCTCTGGTGGCCGAATGTGCTCCTCTGGTTTTCCTACGGATGCTGTCTCTTCCTCGTTACTTTGTAAGAGCCCTATTTTAATAAATGAGGCCGATGTTTTGTAACACAGCAGACATCTTTGTTTACTATTTGCCTTTACGTTTTGTAATAGAAATAATAAGCTTGTCAGCCAACGGGAAAGCTGCTGTCCTGACGCCCTACCCCTGTATGCGAAGATGGCCCCAAGCGCTTCCCCTTCAGGCGTTTGGGGCGGATTTCCTGTTCAGCACCTGAACGCGAAGTTCCCCCGGACCTTTTCACTGTGACAGGTCTTCTCGGATCTGTGTTCCGTGTTCTTTGCACCGAGAAGTGGAGTAAGGTTGGCAGGCGAGGGCGAGGTGCCCCGTACCTGCCTCATGGGGACCCAGCCCTGCTTTCCCGCTGGGACGCTTGCGTTTCCAATCTAGGTTCTTGGCAAGGTTGAAGTCTCTTCATTTGTGTTTTAGCTATTTGTATTTCGTTTGTGATTTGCCAGTTGAGCATTTCTCAGTCTTTTAACTCTGATTTTTAAAATAATCTGTTGTTTTTCTGTGGTACTTGTAAAATGATGGCTCCATCTGGAATTTAGATGTGGGGTGAGCTTAAAAATCCAGTTTTGCCCCCCAAATCATACCAATTTCTAATACTATCCACTATCAAATAAGTTATCTTTCCATTGATTTGAAAAACCATCTTTGTCATATACTAAATTCTTCTCTATCTTTAGGCCCATTTCTGGACTTTGTGGTGGCTTTGATGTGCATAAGGGTTTGATTTACAAGCTACATGGCTGAGTCTCTGCCCCCAAGACTTACTGCTTCTAATATTTTGCTTAGAAAAGCCTCTTTTTGTGTGTGTGTGTGTGTGTGTGTGTGTGACAGGGTTTCATTATGTAGTTCAGGCTCGCCTGGAACTCACAACAATCCTCCTGCCTCAGCTTCCTGAGTGCTGTGATTACAGGCATGCACTACCACACCCAGCTGTGGGTTGTATTTTAAAAATCTTTTATGATGTCATTTTTACTCTTTTTTTTTTTTGGTACCCGGGATCAAACTCAGGACCTTGAGCTTGGAGGCAGGCAGCAGAACCACTGAACTAAATCCCCGGCCTATGATGTCATTTTTAAATTCTCTTATTCATTCGTCTAATGGATTTGTTAGATTTTCATATGACATGATCTGGATTTTCTCTGTCCTTTTACTTTTTTTTTTTTGTCTTTTTACTTTTTAAATCTATCTGTGCTCTACTTTGTAGTAATTGTGTTAATCATGTAATATTTAATTTTACTTTTCCCAAAATATTTAACCCATCATCCTAGTGCCACTCAGTAAATTATCTTTCTTCGGGTAATTTTATTTATTTATTTATTTATTTATTTATTTAGTAATACTGGGAATTGAACCCAGAGCCTTCTCACTGAGCTGCCTCTGGATTTTGAATCTCCCCACCAAACTTGACTCTGTTATACCATGTTCCTAAGTTGCACATTCTCACTGAGGCCCATGTGGCTCTTGTTACCATGGCCCTGTGGCAGATTAAGTTCCTCTCTCAGCTGGCTCCTTTCTTAGTGTCTCCAACATGCCCCTGTGTTTATTCTTTTAGATGACACATGTGTCCACATTGTGAATGGAATGGACAGATGAGCGTTACTGTGATCTGTCCTGTCTTTATATTTATAGAGACCTGGTATGTGTGCTTTTCACATTATCCTTTGATTTCCATAAACTGTTTGTTTGTTTGTTTGTTTGTTTTTGGTACCAGAGATCGAACTCGGGACCTCGAATCTGCCAAGCAGATGGCACTGGAACCACTGAGCTAAATCCCCAGCGCTGTTGTCCATAAACTTTTATAGTTTTCTCTGTAGGGAACCTGCACATTTCTGAAGTCTGAGTTTGTTTCTTGTTGATATTTGTGAATAGAATAGTTTTTCCCTGTCATGTCTTTGACCAAGTGTCACTGGGGTATAGCAAAGCTATCAGTTTGGACATGTATTTCTGGTCATTTATTCTGGGAAGTTTGGGTATTATATTTAACAGTGTTTCGTTTTGCACTCTTCCATCCCTGAGAGCAAAACAGGAGCCATGGCATGAAGATGAAGAGAGATCAGTTGCAAGAAGGCCAGGAGTAAGGAAGGGAGGGCGGTGGCTCTGGGGGAGATCCTGGAGCTCAGTCCAAACCGGGGCTAGGAAAGTTCCTGTCCCAGCACAGCTCCACGTGCAGGGTCCCCTAGAAGGGCAGGCAAGAACTTGGTGTTGCTGGGGATGGTGCTGCACACCTGTAATCCCAGTACTTGGGAGACTGAGGCAGGAGGATCGACATGGGTTCCAGGCCAGCCTGGGCTACATGGTGAGTTCAAGGCCAGCCTGAAGTACATAGGGAGACTCTGTCTCAAAAAACAAACAAACAAAAAGATCTCGATGTCACATCTAGACCATCAGAAGTTCCAAAAAGAATGATTGTTTTCTAAGCTTAGCTTACAAAGTAGTAATGGTAAACCTCAAATTCAAAGCTTTTCATGTCATGGTGGTCCCTTTTTAGTTCTTGTCCTTGCAGTCCTACCTGGCAATAATCATGAGAGCTAGACAGAAAGTATCTCACTGGACAGAAAATATCTCACTGCAATGTGGCTTCTTTCCAGTTTTCTTTTAAGTGATCATGGCTTCTGAGAGGTTGATCCATTCTCATTTTTATTCTGGGCTATTCTATAGGGACATTCCCAAAAACAAAATCACTGTGTCTTCTAATTGAACCCTTTGTGCTGCCACCCCTTGGACTGGTGGGCATGTGGGGCCTTCGTTCAGCTGTGATGCTATGGGTGTACTTAGCATGCTAGGGGTGCTGTTTGTATTTGCCCAAGGGTTAGGTGGTGGCATAGCCCCATGATGGGGCTCCTCAGACTCTTTTCATATTTTGTGCCATTGATTCCTGGCCTGTCCCAGCCCCACCCCTGGAGCCTAGAATCTTTACAAGACTTTTATGAGCCAGCCTTTTAATTTTTTTTTAGCCTTTTAATTTTTAAAAAACAGTCCACACGATTTTCCTTTTTTTTTTTTTTTTCCCAATTAGTTTATTGGTACATTTTAGGTATACAATACAGTTACATTCATCACTGGGAACTTGTACCTGTACATGATGGATCTTGTTTCTTTTTCCCCATTCCCCTGCCCTCCCTTCACCCCCTCCACCCTTCCCTATTTACAAAGATTTTGTTTCTATGTTTTTCCTTTTATCAATATTTTTTCTTTTCCCTTCTTTCCTTTCCCCTACTCCTTTAGACATTTTCTTCCTATTTCACGATATCAATTATACATTTGATTATTATTTACACTTTTAGTTTTTCACACCAGAGAAACTATTCAGTATTTACACGTGTGTCCTATTTATTTCACTTAAAAGTATGGCCTCAATGTGCATCCACTTAGCTACAAATGTCTCCAGTTTCTCATTCTTTATGGCTGAGTAGTACTCCATTTTATAAAAAAACCACATCTTCTTTATCCAGTCTCCAGTTGATGGGCACTTGGGCTGTTTCCAAGCTTTAGCTATTGCAAACTGTGCTGCTATAAACATGGGTGCACATATATCACTGTGGTATGATTCTTTTAATTATTTTGGAAAGATACCCAGTAGAGGAATAGCTGGGTCAAATGGGACTACCAATCCTAGTTGTTTGAGTTATCTCCATATTGATTTCCACAGTGGTTGTACCAGTCTGCACTCTCCCAAAGTGGAGCAGTGTTCCCCATTCCTCACAACCCCGCCAGCATTTGTTACTGGTTGATTTCACGATAGCAGCCATTCTTTCTGGGGTGAGGTGGAATCTCAGTGTTGTTTTCTCTCGAATGACCAGTGATGTTGAACATTTTTTCATATGTTTATTTGCTGCTTTTACGTCTTTGCCTGAGAAATGTCTGTTCATTTCAGATGCCCATTTTTGGATTGGGTCTTTATATTTGGGGGGTCTGGGTTTTATTTAGTTCTTTAAATATTCTAGATAGTAGACCTTTGTCTGAGGAACAGCTGGTAAAAATTTTTTCCCACATTGTAGGTTGTCTCTTAGCTCTGTTGGTGGTTTCTCTTGCAGTGCAGAAGCTTTTTTTGTTTTTGGTACCGGGGATCAAATTTGGGACCCTGTGCTTGCAAGGCAGGTGGCAGAACCACTGAGCTAAATCCCCGGCCCCAGAAGCTTTTAAATAAGATGAGATCCCAGTTGTTGATTCTCTGTGCTAGTTCCCGTGCTATTGAGGATTTGTTCATACAGTCTTTTCCTATGCCAATGTCTTCAAGAGTTCTACCTAACTTATCTTCCAGCAACTTTAGGGTTTCTGTTTTAATATTTAGATCTTTAATCGACTTCAATTTTAGTTTAGTGCATGGTGAAAGATAGGGGTCTAGTTTTAATCTTCGGCAAGTTGAAATTGTTTTTCCAACACCATTTATTAAAGAGGCTATCTTTCCTCCAGTGAGGACGCTTGCCTCCTTTGTCAAAGAGGAGGTAGCTGAGTATGTCTTGAGTTGTTTCTGCATCTTCTACAATTTTCCTTTTTTGTCTGAACTCCAGTGATTTTTTTCATAGAGAAAAGTCTAGAGTTGGGCCTCAGAATCCTGAGGGGAATAGAGAACTGGTTAAAAACTGGTTTCTGATGTCCCACACAGGCCTTTCTTTTCTTGTGAACATTTGACCTTTAGGTAGAGGCCATGGTGTTTGCTTGTGTTGCAGTCTGTCACAGGGGAGACTTGAGTTCCAGGAGAGCCACACCCAGACCTCCCCTTCTTACTTGATGACAGTCCTCCTTCAAGCCTCAGATCAAATCCCTGGGTCGCCCTGGACTCAGTACACCTGAAATGACCACTGCTGACACCCCTGCTGCCAACACCCTGGTCAAGCTATAAGGTTGAGAGCCTCTGCCTCAGTGTAGCACCAGGACCACTAGAGGATTCCAGGGGTGACTAAGGCCTTGGGCCAGGGTCTCCACAGGAGTATGTACCACTCTGGGGCTGAGCCTCCCCTTGCTAGGAGGCAGTGTGTCCTATGGCTGCAGCCCCCACGTAACCCACAAGTGCCTTGGGTGCAGAACACACAGAACCTGACAAGCTGCTGTCCTTGTATGTAGGCAGGAAAATGGGCCTAGGCCAAGGTGAGCTAGGCAGACACCCAGCCCTCACTGTCTCCTGACAGAGGTATGATTAGCCAACCATAAGGACCCAAGGGTGTGGGGACTAAAGATTGGAGACCCATGACCAGAGATGCCTGCACTGACCAGGGCAGAGTTGTGTGTGCAGGGCCTAGCAGACTCCTGCACTGTAAGACCAGAGCTGGGGTGTGGGGGTAAGGGAATGGGACAGAGCATGCCTGCCTCACACCAGATTCCTGGGCTGCTCTGCAAACAATCCAGGAGCCCCTGAGTCCATCTGTCAGGGGCAAGGCCTGAATCCTCACATGTTCCCTCTCCTTCCTCAGCCCTACAGGATCCTCTGTTTTCTGTAATCTTCAGAGGCCCCGGGTGACCAGGTGATGGCAGCGGCAAAGCTCCTACCACTGCCAGCAGGACCCCAGGTGAGCTGTCCCATAGGCTTGTGCAGTGTCCCTGACCAAAGCCCCTTGTCCCTTCCACATCCCGGGCTCCTTGGGCAGCATAAGTATCACTCCATCCCCCTTGTAGCTCCTCCCTTCTCATCCACCTGGCTGACAAAGTATCCCTTCTTGCTGCCCGTGTCAGATGCACCCACACCCACTCACACACTTGGAGATCTGGTCTGTCAAAGCAGCCTCTGTCATTCCAGGCCAAGGTGACCTTCGAGGATGTGGCTGTGTTCCTCTCCCAGGAAGAGTGGGACCGCCTGGGCCCTGCTCAGCGGGGCCTGTACCGAAATGTGATGATGGAGACCTATGGAAACGTGGTCTCACTGGGTAAGGCCCCTCTGTAGGGTTCATCTCAGTTTACGTGTTGCAGTAGAGTGGGAGCTACCTAGGAAGGTGACTGTGGGATGGGAGCCTCACGCCAGGCTGGTCCCAGAGCAGTGATGGCAAACCTTTTAGTTTTCAATGATACAAACAGCCCACTGCGGCGTGTGTGCCATGGGTTCACCACCACTATTCTAAGCTTCCTCCGTTGCAACAGAAGGGCAGTCCTGTCCAGCTTAATGTCCCCAAAGGTGGCTGGGGTTGGGGTTGTCTCCATAAATGTTGTATTAACCAAAGGCTTCCCTCTTCACGAGCAGGGCTTCCGGGATCCAAGCCTAATGTGATCTGCCAGCTGGAGCGAGGAGAAGACCCGTGGGTCCTAGATGAGCATGGGGCTTCCAAGAACCAGGGCCTGGGCAGTGGCTGCTCAGGTACGTGAAGGGACCTGGCCCCTCTCTCCCTGAAGGTTGGGCCTAGTTCAGGCAGAGCTGCTGATGGGAGTTGTTTCCACAGGTAGTGATGGGGTCCTGACTGGCTTCACCTGTCAGAGGAGTCCACAGGCTAGGGGGTTGCTGGCCCAGGCAGTAATCCACGGCAGAAAGAGGGTGTAGCAGTGAGTGCAAGTGGAGTGGCACAAAGGGCCAGAGGACTGAGCCAGAGAGAGGCAAAGTAGGGCCATGGATGGAGGGATTTTTATCTCTGCCCAGAGACAAAGACTGGTTAGCCAGGTTAGATCTCAGGTTGAAAGGGACATTCAGGTTTTGAAGATCACCTGGTTGTTTTAGAAAAGAATGAAGCATCCTAAATGTAGTTGTGGGTTGTTTTTTTGTTGTTGTTTTTTGTTTTAAGGCAGGGTCTCACTATTTAATTCAGCTTGGCCACATCCTAAATGTAGAAGGGAAATGTTTTAACTTAGGCTGTAATCTCTCTGTTTAAACTCAAAGGCAAGACAGAGGAGCCCAGTGTCCTCTCATCCAGATGATGTTGTACTGTAGTACCATGTGTGAAATAAGGCACAATAAATAAACAAAAAATAACAAAACTAAAGCTATAAAATTGGAAAGGAGAGAGAAAAGTGTTCAAAGTTCAGGTGATTGTCAATTTGGGAAAAGATTAGACAAGTTAGATTAGACGTAAGAGTATAACAGTGTTGCTGGACACAAAATCATTTATATTTCTGTTGAACAACAAAGGTATAATTTTTTAAACAGTAACATTTAGGATAGCATCAGAAATATAAAGTATCCAGGAATCGACCCAACAAAAGATACATGAGACCTTTAAAGGTATGGATGAGAGGATAGAGCCAGCCCCGAAGCCTGTGTTTACAGCGTGAAGAACCTGTGTTGTGGGGAGGTGACACAAGAGTCTCAAGAAAACCTGTCTGCTGGGCCTCCCAGGATATGTCCCCCCTTGCAGTGGGAGGGGACAACACAGGCAGTACTCCAGTGGCTGAGCAGCTTCAGCATCCCAGTGTGGCCATTTGCCCCTTGGAAACTGCTCCTTGTTTCTAGAGGTTTGGTGGACAGGGCCTCAGGTATTACAGTCTACCTCTTACTGGCCTACAATATTGGATATCCTCAGAGGAACAGCAGATGTGCCAGTCTCAGAAGAATTTAATTTCTGAGGGACTGGAAGAGGACATAGCATATGTTGTGGAAATCTTGCATGGCTTGCACAGAACTGTTTTTTTGGATTTTTTGTTTGGTTTGGTTTTCTTGAGACGGTGTCCCACTGTGTAGCCCAAGCTGGCCTCAAACTCCTGGGCTCAAGTGATCCTCCTGCCTCAGCCTCTTGAGTAGCTGAGACTACATGTGCTGCCACTAGGCTTGGCTTTGCCCATAACTTTAAACTGACTGTAGCCATAGCGGACAAGAAAGCACAGAGGGCATTTTGTAGCCTCTGCAAAACTGGACTTCTTCCGCTCCCACCTGATGGAGATCTTAGACCTTCTTTGATACTGTTTGAATTTTATGCTGAAGAGACTGAAATTCTCCAAGAGCACAGAAGCACCTGATCACTGTGCTTCTGGCACAGGCTGTAGAGGGGGCTGGGATGAGCATGCTCTAGATAATGAGGTGCACAGAAGCAGAAGCCACCTGCCATAGCCTGCGTCACCACCATAGGCTCTAAACAGAAAGCAGCAGAGTGCTCTAGTGCCTCACCCTGGAGCTGTGCAGGATGGAGAAGCGTGCACAGCTGCCTGGCTGCCCTGCCCCTGCTTTTTTACTCAGTGAATTACCATGCTATAACAGCAGTGGAAGTATTTTTTCTGGAGGGAAGTGTTTTGTTGTCATCTTGTGTCAGGAGCAATGCTACGTAATTTTAGGGAAAAATTTGATTAGGCCTAGTTCTCCTGCCTACAGGCCAGTTATGGCATTTCGAGACATGATTCCAGTTTGGCCTCGGGTCACAACTGAGACCTCATGGATCCTGTGATGCTGTGATGCTCCACGGCAAGACCACACCTTTGGGAGACATCCTGGGAGGAACCAAATCTTCATCTTTTTTTTGGTAGTGGGTCCTTGTGCTTGTGCAGCAGGCAGCGAAACCACTGAGCTAAATCCCCGGCCCCTAAATCTTCATCTTCATAGTTCCTCCTTGATCTAGGAATTCTGCCACTCCCCAGTCATCTATTACATTTGTTTCTCCCCATATACTGAATAAAAGGTGCGGCAAGCTTGGGGCTTTTGTCTTTGCTGCCCAGAGCAGCACTGATCAGGCCCAAAGCTCAGCTTCTTCTCCAGGTCTCATTTTTTGTACCTTTCCTGCATAATAAGTTAATTCGCCTTGTGCTGAATTCGCCTTGTGGCTCGCAGGAGACTAGGACTCACTGCAGATGTTCTAGGAATGTCCCCTTTCCCTGTTTCCTACAACCTTGGCCTTCTGTTCCTTTTACAGACAACCTCAAATATGACTACAGTACAGCCTGTATGCAACAAGATAATGTTTTTTGTCCATGGGGTAAGTATATGTGTGGTCCTTATAATTCAATACAATACCCTGCTAGTGTTAATCATGGTATATCACCAGAACATAGTAAGATTCCCAAGGGTGCTAGGAAGCTTGTTTATATACATACAATCCCCACTAAACACCAGGAAGTATTTTTTCTAATTAAAAATTTATTGGGCTGGGAATGTGGCTCAGCGGTGCCACTGGCAAGTGCAAGTTCAATCCCTGGTACCAGAAGAAAAAAAAATTATTTTGGTGGAATCTTTGTTTTCCCCTTTAAGTATCTGTTGCACTTCCCTACTCCGTACTTAAAGCCATCATTCCAAAAGGAGGAGGCAGTTAGCTTGATGCAGGATGCAACCTGTCTCCATCCTTCATAGCAGCTTGAATCTGTCTCAAGGTCGTACTGTGCTTTTACGCCATGGACAACTAAGTAATCTGTAAACTATTTTTTATTAAAATCATCTTGCTCATCTTGTTATTCTGCCATCAAATCAGAAGCTACTCATTCAGGAAACTACAAACAATAAAATTGGTACTTCTCAATGCAAGTGACTAATTCCTTCTTTGGCCTACAGGCTTTTATTCTGTGAGGATGGATCTTATGAGTGGGGGAAAAGGAACTATAAGTAATCTGTCTTTTAAAAAAAAATACATAGTGTAACTTTAAAAATAAGGTTTGCAGCAGAGCTGGGGATTTAACTCTGGTGGTGCTGCCTGTCTCACAAATGCAAGGTTCTGAGTTCGATCCCCAGTACCAAAAAAAAAAGTGTGCAGCAGGTATGGTGATACATGCCTGTAATCCCAGCACTTTGAAGCTCAGGCAGGAGGATCTCCGTGAGTTCCCAGCCAGCTTTGGCTACATAGCTCAAGGCCATCCTGAACTACATATTGAGATGCTGTCTCAAAAAAATTGCTAAAAATCTTATTAAACAGAATGACTATAAATACAGACTTTTAAAAATGAAAGCCCTAGGGCCAGGGATTTAGCTCAGTGGTGCTGCTACTTATGCCAAGCATAAGGTCCAGAGTTCAATCCCTGGTACCACCAAAAAAAAAACAAAGGAAGCCCCATTAAGTTCAGTTTGTCAGTATGGAGCATACTTACATGAATTGCTCTAAAAGGAATAAAAAGACACAAAAATACCCAATAAGAAAGTAGATCTGAACATGATTGCACACACCAGTAATTGAGCACTCTGGGAAGCTAACATAGGAAGATCACAAGTTTGAGACCAAATAAAAAATGAAGAGCTGGGACAAAGCTCAGTGCAATGGCCCTGGGTACTGAAAAAAGAAAAGAAGAAAAGAAACAAGGGCACAAAATTTGAACAAGATTCTGATAGAAGAAGTATTCCAGAGGGCCAGCAATTCGAACTTTATTTATCAGTAAAATGGAAGTCCAAATCAAAATGATACCATGTTATAACTTCAGAATGGAAATAAATGAAAAGATTTAACAATATGAAATGTGAGTAAGGATGCAGAGCAGCTAATGGGGATGTAAATGCATACAGCCATTTTAGAAAACAGTTTAGCATTGCCAGGCATGGTGGCGGAAAAACTGTAATCCCTGCACTTGGGAGGCTAAGGCAGGAGGCTCACCAAGAGTTCAAGGCCAGCCTGCCTGAACTACGTAGCAAGACCCTGTCTCAAAACAAAAAAATACGCACACAAAACAGTGTGGCATCATCTAAAGAAGTTGAAAATATGAATCCTTCTGTTCCTTTTACCTCTCATAGTATTTTTATTTTATTTTTTCACTTTGCACATAGTATTTGTGTATAACCACCAGAAAGCACAAGAATCTTCATAGAAACATGCTTCTTGATGGAAAGGACTGAAAGTAACCAAATGCCTGTCACCAGTAGAACAGACAGATAAATGATGGCATTTGAATATGCCACAGTTCAAATGTTTGAATAACTGCTACAGAGCAACATAATAAATCTCAACATAATTCTGAGAGGAGAAAGCAAATTGTGGATGACAGTGTACCACAGACTTACAGAAAACTCAGAAAAAGTCGGGCGTGGTGTCACACGTCTGTAATCCCAGCACTTAGAAGGCCAAGGCAGGAGGATCACCATGAGTTCAAGGCCAACCTGGGCTACATAGTAAGTTAAAGAGCCTGAAATATATAGTGAGACCCTGTCTTAAAAAAAAAAAAAGAAAGAAGAAGAAAGCTCAGAAACACATGACTAAATTGTTGCACAAAGCTACAGACTCTAATATTTATTTTAAAAGCAAAAGGACTTCCACTTTCAGTCAAGATGGAGTAACAAAGACCAGAGTTACCTGGCCTCCTGAAATGACCAGGAAACAGGACAAGGAATGCAAAGCCTTAGCTTTCAGGATACTGGACATCAGTCTCTCACTAGAAACCAGCCAGCAAAAGAAAGTCATCCTGAGAATCAGTGACGAGGTGAGCCCTACAGTGGCCTCAACTCACCTTGGAGAAGGTCAGAGCATAGGGAGGGGGAGCCTTGATAGAATTTCTTGAGTTGAGACATCTAGGAGTCTAGCGAGGCTGAGGTGGCTGGAAGTCACATGAAAGAAACAGAGGAATCAGTTCCACAAACAGAAGTATGAAGATCTGCAGAGAAGCTCCCCACAGTGTTCCATTTAGTACTTAGGTCAGGAAAGAACTACTAAAAGGAATTAGCCAGGATTTAGGATCCTCAGCCCCTGTATAGTCCCCTGGACTCTGAATATGATAGATTTCACTCTTCACGATTGTGTTTATTATATGGGACCGTTGTCTTTAAAGGACAGAGCCTTTTCCGTCTGGTTTTAGAGGTCAGAGATTGAAAGCATGATGCACCATGGCGTCCTTGAAGATGGAGAGTACCGTGTGGCAAGGAATGCCAACAGCATTTAGAAGCTGTGAGTGGCCCCCAGTTGACACCCAGGAAGAAATAGTCATCTTGGGCCAACAGCTACAAGGAGCTGAATTTTGCCAACAAAAAGAAATAAGCTTAGAAATGGATTTATCCCCTGAGCCTACATATAAGAACTGAGATTGGCCAACTCTGTTTCAACCTAGTGATACCTTGAGCAGACAACCCAGCCATGCCATTTGGAATTCTGAGTTAGTAAATGAGGGAGTGAGTGTTGTTTTAAGCTGCTAAATGTGTGATATTTTGTCACAAGCAATAGCAAATTCATTGTTCACACAAGGCTAGGACTACTATTGTATGTTCCCAATAGCCGGAGTGGAAAACTTCATAATATATGAGGTATTACAGTAGTGATAGTTCTTGCCTCATTTGTGGAGAAAACAGCCCCAATACTACTTCCAAGTAACTTAAACACATAACAGAACAAAGCTCAATAATATTTGTATAAGAATACGGAAATACTCAGCACCATTGTTCCCACAGTATTTATAAGTGGTTCTTTCCCTGGCCTGGAGCAGTATCCTAGAGCATTGGGTTCTTAGATCTCTAGATTTGGTTGCTGTTAGCCTACCTGTCTCTGTCTCTCTCTGTCTCTCTTCCCCTCTCCCTCTCTCCTCTCTCCCCCTCTCCCCCTCTCTCTCTCTGGCTTTGTCTTACCTGTCCTGCAAGCCTTAGCTGTCTGGCTCTCCCTAGACTTTCAGCTCCATCTCATCTCAGGGAATCTGCCAGTCTCTACCTACCTTTCTGTGCTACCACCTGGAAACTAGGCCGTAGGCTGGATGGTCACAGGGCTCACCTCATCTGTTTCCCATCTCTTAGGGATCACTGTTCTTCATGACCTAATGTCCAGTGTCTTTGAAACAGTTATTTAAAGCCAAGTGTGGTGGAGCACAACTTTTAATTCCAGCTACACAGGAGGCTGAGGCAAGGAGGATCGCCAGTCTGAGGCCAGCCTGGGCAACTTAGTGAGGCCCTGTCCCCCCAAAGTTTTTTTTTGTTAAATGGCAGTGTTGGGCCGGGGATTTAGCTCAGTGGTTCTGCCACCTGCCTCGCAAGCACAAGGTCCTGAGTTTGATCCCCGGTACCAAAAAAGAAAACAAAACCAAAAAAAACCCCCAAAAATGGCAGTGTAAGAATGCATGCTTAGCATGCATGAGACCCTGGGTTCAATCCCTACTACCAAATGAAAAATAAGTAAAATTTTTAAAAAAGAAATAGCACCAAAGCAAGATAATCTGTGATGTCTAGCATCTAATAAAAAATTACCAGGTATGCAAAGAAGCAAGAAAATATAATCACAAACATTGTACTAATACAATTAAAAATGTTAAAGGGGTGGGGTTGTAGGTCAGTGGCAGAGTACTTGCCTCAGGAGCATGAAGTCATGCATTCAATCCCCAGTGCCAAAAATAGTATCATTTCTATTAAACATAAATTTTTTTGGTTCATTATTCCCCAAGCAATACAGTATAAGCACTATTTATATAGCACTTACATTATACAAGGCATTATACTCATCTAAAAGTAATTTAAAGAGCTGAGTGTGGTGGCACATGCCCATAATCCCAGCACTCAGAAGGCTGGGGCAGGAGGATCATTATGAGTTTGAGGCTAGCCTCGGCTATCTATAGAGAGTTCAAGCCCAGCCTGGACTACAGAGCAAGATTCTGTCTCAAAAAACAAAAAACTAATTTAAAGTACACAGATGATATGCAGATACGCCCTTTTATGTGAGAGACTTGAACATTTGTGGGTTTTAGCATGTATAGGTTTTCACGGAACCCATCCCTCACGCATATCAGGGGACAACTATATTTCAAGCCGTAGTCTGCCTTTAAACAATATTTACCATTTACTATACAGACTTAAGAATCTTGTAAAGGTATACTACATTTATCTTAGTCTCCCCAGGCTACCATAACAAAATACCATAGGGCAGTGATGGCGAATCTTTTAAAGCTTTCAGTGATACAAACAGCCTGCTGTGGCACGTGTGCTGTAGGTTCATCACCATTGCCATAGATTGTGTAGCTAAAACACAGGAAGTTTCTCACCTTTTAGAGGATGAGAAGTTCAGATCAAAGTATCAACAGGTCAGTCATTTCTGGTGATGATTCTCTTGCTAGCTAGCAGCCAGCCACTTCTGTGTGATCTTTTTGAACAAATATGGAGAGAGAACAAGCTCTCTGGTATCTCTTATAAGGGCACTTAATCCAGTAATGATGGCTCCACCCTCATGACCTCATCCAAACCTAATTACCCCCAAGACCCCACCTCTACATACTGTCCCATTGTGGGTTAGGACATCAACATAAATTCTGGGGAAACACAAATAATCAGTACATAACAGTTTCCCTGTTCACCCAAAATTTTGTGATACCGGCATGTTTTACACACATGTGCCCGTAGTACATTCCTACTGTTTTTGCCTCTAACATACACATTTTAGAGTGAGTTAGAACACTTTTTTCAGAGTCTTATATTTGTCAATATTTAAAATTACTACCATTTACCATCCCTAAAGATCTTCATTTCTCTGTGTAAATCCTAGGTTCTGTCAGGTATCATGTGTCTTCTGTCTGAAGAGCTCTCGTTAACATTTTTTGTAATGTAAATTTGATGGTTGTAGATTTTCTCCATTGTTTTTATTATTTATCTTTCTTTTTTGAAAGATATTCTCACTAGGCATTAAGTTGTAACTGGGGTTTTCCTTAGCACTCTTGGGATGTTGTCTTTTTACTTGATAGTTTCTGGTAGTGTATCTGCAGTTATTCTTACACTTGCTCCTCTACACGTTATGTGCCCTTTGTCCTCTGGTTGGTTGCCTCTAAGATTCTCTTTCCTTCATTTTTAGCAATTTGAATTTGATGTATACAGATGGTATTTCTTTAAATGTCTTACTAGATTCTCAGGGCTTGTTGTTTTGCAGTGCTGGGGATTGAACACTGGGCCTCACACACGTTAGCCAAGTGCTCTACCCCAGCCCCAGTTTGGGTAATTTCTGTTGCTGTTTCCAAGCTTGCTGATCTTTCCTTAGCTGAGTTGGATCTACGGATAAACAAGTCAAAGGCATTCTTTATCCTTGTCATTGGTTTTGTTTTGTTTTTATGTCTAACATTTCAGCTGGACTCTTCCTTACAGTTTTTCATCCCTTTGCTGAAATTCCTCATCTGATAATACACGTTGTACCAACATACAGGACAAATCTGGTCCTTTAATTGCTTTACTGCCTCTTATTTTTTGTTCTCCTTTTTCAAAATGAAAAAAGCTCTTTTGAGTATCGTATGATTTTTTTTTTTAATTGAATACCAACCATCATTAAAGGACATAGAGGGTAAATAGTAAATTGCCTGTGCATCTGGAAATATAGCCTCTTGTACTGGGCAGTTGATATGCAAACATGAGTCAGTCCTGTCCAGAGCTGGGCTGGGTTTGGATTTTGTTGTTGTAATTACTTTGTTTGCATTGCCGAAGTCCAGAGTAGTTTCTCTTGCATGCTACTGTGCTTAGGGTAGGACTCTGTCTTCCATGTTGCCTATGTCCTGAGAAGGTCTCTTGTTTCTACCCCATGCTCTTCATAGACTGCTGTTGCATGTCACCTAGGGCTTGCTGGCCTCAGGAAGGGGGAGGCAAGTAGAGTGGTGCTGTTCTGGCCCATCTTCTTTCAGCAGGTGCTGTGTCACTGGGTTTCAGGGGCAAGACCTCCTCTGTGCACTTGACCTTTCCCTGGCTGTGGGAGACCTCTGAGTGGGTCCATGTCGGTTCCTGCCCCTCCCTCAGAAGTGGAGGTTGTTTTTCTTTTCTCCTCTTCCAGCCATGGTGACTGTTAGCAGTGTCTCCAGGATGATAAAGCTTATTTTCCTCCCAGGTGATTTCCAACTTCTGTTCCATAGAGAAGTGGCCAATCATGTGTCTGTCCTCCCTTCCTCCAGACTCAAACCTCCAAGGGAGGGAGATCCATGGAGAAGAGCCATGGTGTCTGTGGCTCTCAGGGGTTCCCCAGCAACTCATTAAGAGCTTTTTCTCACATATTCATGTGGGAGCCCCACTTTCCTTCAGCATGGACACATCACTGCACACATCAGTGCACAGTCTCAGGTTCTAAGTTAGTTGACTACAGTGTGACCTCAGCTCTGATGGCTCTGAGAAAAGATGAGGTTTTGTAGGTGATCTGTTTTTTTCCAGTTGTTGGGGCAGAAGTGATGTACTTTCCAGCTTTCTGCCTCAGGAAATCTAAAAGGCCTAACAACCACTGCCATAAGGAGTCGGGTGGCCTCTTGCTCCTCTGCCCTGATTCTGGGCTGGACCACCTGTTGTCCCCTCTGCACACAGCCTGCACTTCAAACACAGGAGCTGTCTTCACATGAAGTCTGTGTGTGTGGCATCTTCAGTCTTGACAGCTCTCTGAGATATTAAACATGCTGTCTTCGACACCCCTTAATCCTACCATACAGTCCACAGAATCTGTGGCTTGATTCTAGAAGTGTGCCCACCCTAGTCTTTTCTGTCATACTGTGCCCCTGCAGACCTCTCTCCAGCCTCAACTTGGCAGCATACTCCTACCTCATTCCTCTGTGTCTTCAGTTTTGCTTGCCCCCAGGGTAGGCTCCACATGACGTTACTTCCACAAAGAGGTCACAGCACCATTCCCCATGTGTAGGGAACAGGGAAAGGGTATGTTACTAGAACCTTTGCAGTGAACCCTAGTCTCCTGCAAGCCACGGCAGCACAAGGAGAGTTACAGGAAAGGTAGAAAAATGAGACTTTAAGAAGAAGCTGAGCTTTGGGTCTGATCAGTGCTGCTCTGGGTGGCAAAGAGAAAGCCCCCAGCTTACGCACCTCAGTACATGGGGAGAAACAGATGTAACAAATGACTTGTGGAGAGTTCAGTACCTCGCCATAAACAAGATGTAACAATCCAAGAACAATGAGGAACTATGTACATGAAGATTTTGTTCCTCCAAGGATGTCTTCAGCTGGTGTAATCTTGTCCTGGAGAATCACAGCATCACCGGATCATCGAGGTCTCAGTAGTGACCGGAGGCCAAAATGGAGTTCTGTCTTGGAATGCCATAGCTGAGCTGTGGGCAGGAGAACTAGGCTAACCAAATGATTTTTCCCTAAAATTATGTAGCGTTGCTCCCAACACCCATGTACAAATTCTTTGGCCCCAGGATGGCATCTCTGGTCTGCTCACAAACGCTCAGTCTGCCCTCTGCCCACACAGGCCAGGCTTCGCTGGTCCAGTGCTACCCAGCTGCCTGGTCTTGTATTTCCTCCTGCTCCACATGGCCTCTTGAAGCTCAGTCTGTTCAATCCATGGGACAGCTCCAGAGAGGGTTCTGGGCTGTGTCCCCTCTGCCATGTGCTTGTCTGCAGGACAGCGTCACCTCAGACTTCAGACTGCTGGTGACCCCTTCCTCTCCAACCCCTCATTAGTCTTGGTGCATCCCTGTGTGGAATTCCGTGTCTGATTCTCCCCTTACTTGGCAGTACCAGCGTCAAGGCTGTACTCCACTGTTTTGAGTAGTGTTAACATTTTCATTTTGGATTTGTTGTTTCAGAATGCAAAACCAAGAAAGAGAACCTAAACACAGACTTGAGCCTAAAGCCATTAATTTCAGGAGAAGTAACAGCAATTCTGGGGAAAACGCCTTTGGATGGGATTGATGAAGAACATAACACCAAAGGGAGCTTCTGCCTGAGTGCAAGCCCTGCTGGCCACCATGAGGCTCAGGGCTTGAAGGGAAGGGAACCACTCACTCAACACCAGGCAGTTCCTAGTGGAGACAGACCCTTCATATGCATCGAGTGTGGGAAGTGCTTTGGTCGGAGCTCCCATCTCCTTCAGCATCAACGAATCCACACTGGTGAGAAACCCTATGTGTGTGGTGTGTGTGGGAAGGCCTTCAGCCAGAGTTCAGTCCTTAGCAAACACAGGAGAATCCACACCGGGGAGAAGCCCTATGAGTGTAATGAGTGCGGAAAAGCCTTCAGAGTGAGCTCAGACCTTGCTCAGCACCACAAGATCCACACGGGTGAGAAGCCTCATGAGTGCCTGGAGTGTCGGAAAGCCTTCACTCAGCTCTCACACCTCATTCAGCACCAGCGCATCCACACAGGAGAGAGGCCCTACGTGTGTCCCTTATGTGGGAAAGCCTTCAATCACAGCACAGTCCTAAGGAGCCACCAGAGGGTGCACACAGGGGAGAAGCCCCACCAGTGCGGTGAGTGTGGGAAGACCTTCAGTGTGAAGCGGACTCTGCTGCAGCACCAGCGGAGCCACACTGGGGAGAAGCCTTACACATGCAGCGAGTGCGGCAAGGCCTTCAGTGACCGCTCCGTCCTCATCCAGCACCACAACGTGCACACCGGGGAAAAGCCCTATGAGTGCAGCGAGTGTGGGAAGACCTTCAGCCACCGCTCCACTCTGATGAACCATGAGCGCATCCACACAGAGGAGAAGCCCTATGCATGCTATGAGTGTGGCAAGGCTTTCGTGCAGCACTCACACCTGATCCAGCACCAGAGGGTCCACACTGGGGAGAAACCCTACGTGTGCAATGAGTGTGGGCATGCCTTCAGTGCACGCCGCTCTCTGATCCAACATGAGAGAATTCACACGGGTGAGAAGCCCTTCCAGTGCACAGAATGTGGAAAGGCCTTTAGCCTGAAGGCAACTCTGATTGTGCACCTGAGGACTCACACGGGCGAGAAGCCTTATGAGTGCAACAGCTGCGGCAAGGCCTTCAGCCAGTACTCAGTGCTCATCCAGCACCAGCGCATCCACACCGGGGAGAAGCCCTATGAGTGTGGTGAGTGTGGGCGCGCCTTCAACCAGCATGGGCACCTGATCCAGCACCAGAAAGTGCACAGGAAGCTGTGACCTGGGGGCAGTCCTCAGGAGCACCTGCACACACAAGAACTGTACCAGAGGCACAGGCAGCCTCCTTGACAGGGAGCTTGTGACCTCTACAAGACATGCCGAGTAATCCAGCATCACTGCATGCTCCCAAAGAAAGGCACAGGGCATGTTCCTGTGGAAAAGCTTCCGAGAATGTCTGTTTATCTTCCTCAACATCTTGAAGTTACATAGGAGGGTAATGGTATATTTGTAGTGAATATTGATAAAGAGAGCCATAATTCTTTGTTTCTTTAACATTACTTTATTTGAAGTAACCAAGGGAAGTTAAGTGTAAGAACTATTGTCTCGATATTCCAAATAAACTTCTTGTCCTTAGAATCTACCTGCCTCTCCTAAATACAACTGACCATCCTAATTGTTGTACTTAAACTTAGAATATTGTACTATTTTCAGTACTCTGTGAAAACCCTAAAGTGCTGTACAGATAAAGTGATATTTTAAAAAATATTGTCAAGTATCATCATGTGAAATAGCTAAAAATTCTAAGTGCATGGAAATACCTGTTTTGTATTAAAAAAAAACCTTTCAAGATACATTAGTGAGAAGTGTCATAAATTTGGAAAAACCTTTATCTGATGCTTTAACTTTGTTCAAGATTAAAAGGAATGTCCTAACACTTCAATAAAAATTCAACTCAAAAATGAGTATATTCCTCAAACTCTGTCCTTATGACCTAAAGACTCTGTACCTCAAAGATTGTGGAATCTCTAGGGCCTCCAGGTCCCAAGCAGGAATAAGACAGGAGCTCCACACAAAGTGGTCCCTCTGCACACCTGTTATTTCCAAGAAAATACTAAAGAGATAAATTTTTTTTGGTACGAGGAATCGAACTCAGGACCTTGGGCTTGTGAGGCAGGTGGCAGTACCACTGAGTTGAATCCCTAGCCCACTAAAGAGATAATTCTTTGGTACATACTTTTAAAACAAAATTCTTAAACTCAGCTCTTTTTAACTACTCTTAGGAGTCTACTATACTTGAGCTGGGTGTGGTGGTGCATGCCTGTAATCCTAGCACTCAGGAGGCTGAGGCAGGAGGGTCACCATGAGTTCAAGGCCTGTCTGGGCTACATAGTTCAAAGCCAGCCTGAACTACATAATGAGACCACGTCTCAAAAAAATAAAAATAAAAAGATTTTAAATAGTCTAAGGGCCGGGGATTTAGATCATTGGTGCTGCTGCCTGCCTTGCAAGTGCAAGGTCCTGAGTTCAATCTTCTGTACCAAAAAAAAAAAGTCTACTACACTTTAGGTTTTTCTTTCATTTTGGTTCAAGAGTCTGGTATCCATTGCTATATACTGTGACAAATCTAGTTTACTCATAATTAAAAATTATTTGCTCAGGGCTGGGGATTTAGCTCAGTGGTTCCGCCGCCTGCCTCACAAGCGCAAGGTCCTGAGTTTGATCCCTGGTACCAAAAAAAAAATTATTGCTCAAAATTATTTGCTTGGTTTTAAAGGTATGCCCTTATAGCTGAATTTATGCCAGAGACATTTCTAGTAGCCAGCTATGAAGGAAACTATTGAATCACATTCAAGGCCCTTCCGAACCTAAACATGTTAAATGCCTGATGGCGAATGGCCTCTCTCTTTCTCAATAAGCTCTAGGGCAGTGATGGTGAACCTTTAAGAGCTTTCAACAATACAAACAGCCAACTGTGACATGCCATAGGTTCGCCACCAGTGCTCTAGGAGTCCTCAGTGATATACCATGATGGAGACAAAAGCTTATTTCACCCTCTGCACAGACACTGGTGAGAGGTGACAACACTGATGTGCTGAGAAAGGAGTTGAGATCACTGAGGTGTGAACACTCAAGAGCTGAGATTGCTGAAGTGAAACTTCAACCAGTTGATATAACTGAAGTGTTGCTTTAGAGAGAAGCTAACTCACTGTAGTGTTGCTTCAGACTAGGGCCTTACTTCACAGAAGGCAAGAGTACTGAGTGTGACTTAGAAGAAGAGTTGAGATTAGAAGTGTCACTGAAGGAAGAAAATGAGGTCATCGGTGTTGCTTCTGAGAGGAACTAACATACTCATGTGCTGAAGAGTTGAAATAACTGAAGAGAAAATCCAAGAGAACTAGAATTGCTGAGGTGACTCTTCAGAGGGCTGAGCTCACTAAAGTGAAGCTCCAGAGGAATGAAAATTACCGACAAAGGACCCTGGTATATTAATTAGGAGCAGAGATCACAGAGATTGCTTAAAAGAGAAGTTGAGATTGATGAGGTATTAAAAGAGAAGCTGAGGTCACTGCAGTGTTACTTTGGAGTCAAGATGAGATCGTGCAGGTGTTTCTTTATGTCTGTGAGGTAAAACTACACAAAGCTGAGCTCACTGAGGCTTACTTAAATGCAGCTGAGATTGCAGAGGTGATGCCTCAGAGAAGTCACTTGAGAGGCTGAGATCACTGGGATGTTATTTCAGAGAGGGAATGGGACCACTGTGTGTTAGCTCATAAATTCCCTAAGGAGCAGAGCTGCCAACCATCTTCAGTTGAGCCCACAGTCTGCAGCTGTCTCTGGCTATGGCTCAAAACACAGTGCTATTCACAACACAATTTCTAATCATGTAGAATCAATAAAATCATGTTCCCATCAAGATAAGAGTTTATGGGCTGGGGATTTAGCTCAGTGGTTCTGCCGCCTGCCTTGCAAGCACAAGGTCCTGAGTTCGATCCCCGGTACCAAAAAAAAAAAAAAAAAAAGATGAGTTTATTTAATTAAATTTAACATACTGGAATATTTGTTTAGAAAGACTGTATGTATCATAAGGTACCAAATCACATAGTACCAGTGTGCTGTAGTGCTAAATTTTCCAGTAACCTATGTTTTCAGGGAACTCCTTCCAATGTATAGTTGGACTTCCTTCTTAGACAAAGTGTGCTTGGTATCTTCCTGCCTGTTCTTGCTGTGTCAGACTGCATTTGATCCAGTGGTGAGCCTGCAGGCTCAACCATCCAAAGTCTAAAAATGAGCATCAATGCCCCTCTCCTGGACAGGATTCCCAAGCTCCATATTCTTGCCATTCGCTTCCTCCTCACCCAGAAGCAGGTAGAGCACATGGCCAACGCAGGAGCAGTTGGCCTTGGGGTGTGTAACATTGGAGGCCAGTATGAGCTTTGGGCTCCCCTTCGTGTTGATAATGGGCTCCTCAGCCATGACCTCCCACTTTGTCAAAACCATTCCAATCTTGTTTTGGATATTTTATTTTTACTCAAATCTTCACATTTTATGTACTTAAATCTTTATATTATTTCTCCTAATGGCTACCAAGAATTTGAATCGGTATTCTTCAAATTTTCTTACTTTGGGAAATATTTTAGTCCAGCTGGAATTCATTTCTGTGTACTTTGTATAATCTGACATTTTCCAATAAAAAGCAATGACTGCAACAAGTATTTGGGTGAAAAAAGATCAGTAACTTTGGCATAAAGATCTCCTACACATTGGGCTGAGGATTTAGCTCAGTGGCACCGCAGCTGCCTGGCAAGCACAAGGTGCTGAGTTCCATCCCTGGCACAAAAAACAAAACAAAATAGAAAAACACATCAGTGACCACAGGGCTTGTGCAAGAAATTTCAAATCAAGAAAAATACCACTGTTGGATCACTGGTCATTCGAGAGATGGAGATGAAAACAACACTGAGATTCCACCTCACCCCAGAAAGAATGGCTGCTCTCAAGTAATCACCCAATAACAAATGCTGGCAGGGGTGTGGGGAGAAAGGAACCCTTCTCCATAGCTGGTGGGAGTGCAGACTGGTGCAACCACTGTGGAAATCACTGTGGAGATACCTCAAAGAACTAGGGCTGGAGGTCCCATTTGACCCAGCTATTTCCCTGCTGGGGATCTTCCCCAAAGAATTAAAAGAATCATACCACAGAGATATATGTGTACCCATGTTTATAGCGGCACAGTTTGTAATAGCTAAAGCTTGGAAATAGCCCAAGTGGCCATCAACTGGAAACTGGATAAAGAAGATGTGAGTTTTTTTATAAAATGGAGTACTACTCAGCCATAAAGAACGAGAAACTAGAGACATTTATAGCTAAATGGATGCATATTGAGGTGATACTCTTAAGTGAAATAAATAGGACACACGTGTAAATACCAAATAGTTTCTCTAGTGTGAGAATCTGAAAGTGTAAATAAGGATTAAAATGATTAAAACGAATAATTGATAATTTGGTTTGTTTTTTTTTTTGGTACTGGGGATCAAACTCGGGGGTCCTTTGCGTTTGCGCAGCAGGCAGCAAAACCACTGAGCTAAATCCCCGGTCCTGAATAATTGATAATTTGAAATAGGAAGAAAAGGTCCAAAGGGGTAGGGGTGGCGGGAGGGGAAGGGGAAAGGAAAGAAAGGAAAGGAAAAATTCTGAGAAAAGAAAAAAAATGGAAACGAAGTCTATGTAAATAGGGAAGGGTGGAGGGGGTGAAGGGCGCACAGGTAATGGGGAAAAAAATAACCAAGATACATCATGTACAGGTACAAGCACCCAATGGTAAATGTAAATGTATTGTATACCTAAAATGTACCCATAAAAGAATTTAAGGAAGAAAAAGAAAAAGAAAGAAAAATACCACTGTTGGAAGCTCAGAAAAGGCTCAGGTCCTGATCCCAAAACAAAACATGCCAGCTTCTCCTAAGGCCATGGTGTGACCTACCCTACTCCAGAGGGTGATGACAGCAGGCACCAGACAGCCCCAAGGAAGGGAGACTCCTAGAAGACAGGGTGGAAGCACAGGCCACAAAGGCCACTCAGCACACACCAGCTGGTGGTGGAGGCCAGAAGGGTCTTGTCTTGGTGTTGGACTTGTCCTGAGGCACAGAACAACCTTTTGGGCAGTATTGAGAGCACCACATGGTCATGGGACTCTATGCTAGCTCACCTGGGTGAGCTTGTGGAGCACTTTAGGTTTTCTGCTTATAAGTTCCTGAGCTGAGAAACTCAGGTGACAGTATGAAGTTCATGGGTCCCCAAACTACCTTCACTGCTGGGACTAGTTGCAAGTTTGGGCACCCCCAAATCAACCTCAGGTTCAGTAATTTGCTATGAGGACTCATAGCTCACCCTGAAAGCTGATAAACTTCTGGTTATGGGTTATTATAGTGACAGTGACAATGAAATGTATTGCCAGTCACAGGCATCCCAACACAGTTATCAAGCAGACGTTAAAACTGCAAAGTCCAGTAAAAGGAGGCTGTTTGGCAGTGGTTCTGCTAATCCCAGCAGGCAGGCAAATGGCTTGGCAATAATCCAGTGCTGGTGACATTGCACACTGGTGTAATGACTCTGGAAACTATTTGGATAAATACATCAATGTCCTTTAAAAAGTTTATCCTGTCCTTAGAAATGTGTCCTAAGTGCATAATTTTAAAAAACAATTAAAACCCTGAAATTAAATACCGTGGAATAAGACACAGATGGTCCCAACTTATGATTCAGCTTTGACTTTTTAACATTATAAATGGTGTAAAAGTGATACACATTCTCCAGAAACTACTTTTAATTTTCCCAGGCTAGTGATATATGGCATAATACTCTTGATTCTGGGCCGGAGGAGAGAGCCACAGTTCCCAGTCACCTATGCAACTATAAGGGGAAACAACCAATACTCCACAATGTTGTTATAGAAAATGCATTT